GGACCAGAAATACTGCAGAACAATCAATCTTCCTTTGTATTCAGTGGAGACTGTACTATGCTACATATAAATGCAGAAAAACCTGCTTGCCAGGGCCCTCCTTAGTACAATCACTGTGCAGAAAAATCAATGAAGAGATCTTAATCTTGGCTATATAAATTACATATTTGAGTTGTTTCTAGCAATTTCCCCGATGTGCCTTTCATTTCTGACCACTACTTTTCTAATACTAAGAGAGAACTATACGCCTCTACTGCTAACAACTGACAGGATTGAACGAAATGAAAAAGGTGCTGGTAATATATATCCTGTTTTCTGCAAACACTTGGATGCAGACTTCATGATGAAAGAGTTCACAGTGGTAAGTATAATCTCTGCAGATACATCATCACTCTACAAACACTGTTAACACTCACGTCATCTCAGTTTCCATGGAACTTAAGACAGCTAATAACTAAGAATTTAAATGAGATTATTTTCAACCACAGAGGCATAAAAATGGCAGAAAAATAACACTTTCAAGAAATGATTTTTAAGATGTGTTTCAATTCATCAGACTGCACAGGTTTTCTCAAACTTGACAAAGAAAAAAAAAAAGCACTTTTAAAGAAACAAAAAGCCTGCAATTCTGCATATGCCTATATATTTCTTAAAAAAATCCATTTGAAGTTGGCTCTGCAAGATAAAAATAAAGCCTGGCATAGAAACAGAGGCAGAATCCTATGGGCTAGACACATTCAGTAAAGAAAATAAAAACTAACAAAATGAAACTGGGCAACCACTTTAAAGTCCCATGACTTCCAAATAACAGGAAGTACAAGAACATGTATTATTATTTCTTCAGGAGGAAAAAAGGCAGAAATATTAAAAAAAAAAAAAAAATCAGAAAATAATCAGAACACTTTCTGAACTCTTCAAAAATGCTAACAAGTTCTTCTTTCAGAAAAGCATGACTCAGGAATACTGCACCAGAGCGTGTATTGGTCATTCAGATAACGCTAAAAAAACCCAACATAGTGTTAAAAAAACCACAACACCAAAACCCCTGTGTGTCACGTTAGGAAATATGCCACAACTTTTGGCAACTGAAGGAGTACAAAGCCTTTACAAAGTTTTCATAGAATTATGTTTTTCTTCTTACAACATTTACGGAATCTTTTTAATTTATTTAAGAAGGAAAAAAATACACAAAAGCAAAGTATATTTATGTTTAAAACACAATATTGAAGATTAGAAATGTAAGTGTATATGCTAATATAACTATTTTTTCTACTTGCATAACACTATGCTTTATTACCCTACAGTATGTTGGCTACATACTGTTGTGGAAGGTGGCAAAGAGCAGCTACATGAGCATGCGGAGCACACCTGAACGCGATGTAAACAGCACATGGCAATAACGGAATAAGATTGTGAGGCTACAATAACACAGGAATGTATATAAATTAGAGAGGCTGTTAATATGTTTTGGAGGGCTTTAAGGACTTTGTTTAGCTGCTTAAAAGTAGTTGTTCATGATAAAGCAGAACTCCTAGACTGCTTAATGCTTTTGCTTAACGTTGACCTATTCTCTGATTGAAGGCATAAGGAGACTCGGAAAGCCCCAGAGCCAGTTTAAGCCAGGAAAAGGAGATATAGTAACAACTAGCCTAAAAACCAGGAAAGAACCTGCCTAGAGATCAGAGAAAGGACCCAGTGAGAGAGAAGGTGACCCCAAACCCGAATATCACTATTGGGCCAGACTGTGGCGTGAGGGGCAGGGACTTCGATGGTAAGGGTATAATTTGGTGTTTGGGGTCCCTCGCCAAAGGCACCCAGCTCGAGCTGTTTAAATGCGTGCAGCATAGATAGACTAAATTACATTTTTTTATCTTGAAGGCCTTGATTAGAGATTCTGCTTCGGGGAACGTAGGGTCGAGCCTAAGGGAAGAGGCAGCACCGACGGCTGAGTGAGTGTCTCTGTGAGTGTGAGAGTGTGAGAGGGTGAGAGTGGGGGGGGGGGGGGGGGGGGGTTCTGAAGGGTCACCCGTCGGCTCACTGGAGTCGCCCGCTGCGAAGGGACTCCGGTCCGAGCAGTTACAGTCTCCGGCGCAGTGCCCGTGACTCCTGGTTGGTGTGTGAATGCTCGGGCAGCGGCTTCTCCCTTAACAATACATGTACTAAACCCAAAGGATCAGAAAAGTCCCCCTAAGCAAACACTATCAATCAGTAATATCATTTTTAAGGAAGGAATTAACTAATTTCACAATTCACAATAGTAAATTACTATTACTTACTTACTATACAATTACTGACAATAAGAAAGGCGTATATCCCACAGGGATTATTTCTATTATTTTTCCTTGAAATGTCTTTGTCACACATAAAAGCCTTCTCTAATTTCTCAACATAAGCACAAAACTTGCCCAAAGAAAAATCAAGGTTTGTAATGTGAGAGAAAAAACACTACCACTGTTTCCATTTCTGTTCACTGTAAAAATCTAAAGTGTCTTCAGTAAGCACAATGAGATGCCAAAAGATCTCTCTTAAGCATAATTCCCTACACAGGCTTTTGAAAATCTGATTCTATGCATTACCTGAACAGTTTACAAAATTGTATCAGCTAATGCAGAATGGTTGTGTATTTGAAAGGTATTTGCTTTAAATATTTTAAATTCCTGACACACAGTGAAGACTCGTGATACAAATGTTCAAACTACAACTAGCCACATTTCATAAAGCCAGCCATAAACTTGTTTATAGTTTGTTTATGGTGACTAGGCACAACATACATAAGCAAAGGAACTCTCATAACTTTTTCTGTTCACTTTCTACAAACTGTTTTAGTAAGACCTAGACCCAACTAAAATATAAAACAATATTTAGCCATTTAAAATCACTTATTTTGCAGGCCAAAAAAGACACTGTTGCAATGAAACTCAACCTAGATGCAGCAACAATATAGTATGTGCTATCAAAAGAACTACAAGCTATCACATTTATCAGCAAATGCCTTTCTGTTCATAGTTAAAACTTAGCACGTCATACAAATGTTCAGTGAACTCTGAAATGGCTCACAGTGCATCTAATTCTACCAGCAGCAGCAACAGACCCCTGGGTTTGCCAGCAGGTTCACTAACTCCTGAGCCCATCTGCTGAGGCAAGTTTTCTATGACAAAACATGTGTCCTCTTTCTTTGCTGCTCTCTCCTCTTTTTTGGATAAAGGCATCCTCTGTACAGCTCTAAGAACTGAATTTCTAGACTGCTGTGCTTCCTTCCACCTGAATATGCTGACCTTCAGTTCCTACAGACTGCAAAACATATTCAAACACATTAACGCAAAATGCTACACTGCTTATGCAAGTAGCAACTGTAAAAGTGCAGCTTCAAAGTTCTGAAAGATCTAACAAAAATAACTCTTGAAAAAAATAGGCCATGCATTTAATAGAAAGCAGATAGTCCTAGTAATTCTCACAGAAAACTGAGGGTTTGATGCACTGACAGAGTCTACATGGCTTCATGTTTTCATTTCTAATTCAATAATGACTCTCAAACACAACTAACCTGAAATTCACTGCTATAGCAAAAGACAACAAATATTTACACATTTTTAATACATAAGATACAAACAAAAATAATACATTCAACAAAAGATCTCTCACTGGACTAACCGGAGTGATGGGGACATTCTACTTTTTTTCAGATGCAGGTGCCTACTGACATTACAGCCGTTTGTACTTTTCCAAACAGGGCAATCTGTTCATTTCATTTACTACAAGCTTGTTTTCCACTTTATCCTTATTACCTTTTTTTTTTTTTTTAAATTAACTTCTTTTTTTTTAAATCCCAAATCCAGTAAAAATACACAAAGCAAGAGTCCACTATTGTCGACAAAGACTATTTTGGAACTTAAGTTAAAAAAAATAATTACATAAAAATGCAGTCATTCCTTAAATTCCTTTCTAAATTCCTTAGAAAACTCCAAAATATCAAACAGTTCATATAAACTAGTATGACCTTTTTTTCACCCTTTATGAAAAGTGTCATTTTATAGGGAGAAAAATATTACAACTCCATCACAAAACCTTCGTGTTAAATAATGGAAGCAGATATTTTCATTTCATGTTGGCCACTGAAACACCTCCAAGGCCATACCCCAAAGAAATAATGATCTCCATTTATTAGTCAGCTTACTGTGAGTTTGACTTTAATATTACAGAAGCCTCTATAGACCTCAGGATGTATGGAGTTTCCTCATTTTTGTTTTAATGCATCTGTCTGTTAAAGTTTCCAAAACACTGAATGATTTAGACCTAAACAGACATGCTGGCTTTCATATGGCTTCTTAAGAAAGATAAGTAACTAAAATGGCATTAAAGAAAAATCTCAGACCTTTTGTATTAAATCTGAGGGATCATTTGGCTTCCCTGTTTCTCAAATCCTACCTTTCCCTCAGTCCTTACAGTTATTAAACAGGAAAACCAGGAGAAAATAGTTGTTTGATATTTTACAGCAGCCAAAAAGATTTTTTTTTTTTCCCCTGCAGAGAGAGGGAATACAAAACCAATTAAGCTTACCACAACTACTAAACTCTTAACTGAGCAGCACACAAAACATGCTGTTTATAAACTGAGGAAGGAGGACTGTGGTTATGGCTTTTTTCTTTATTTACTTCTGAACAACATGGAAGTCCATTAAAGCTGCGAGAGCCTTTCTCAAATTAGATTAACAAACTAGCATTTATGTCACCTTATTTCAAAATTACTGACTTTTAGACATCTAAGCTTGAAGCAAACACCCCAAGCTCTTCTATAATCAAGACAGAAGTACAAACCACCACAGTGCGATTTATTTGACCTTTCTTCAAAGGAGAGGAACACCTCTCTAGCACTCCTTGTTTTTTTTACGGCTGACTGTCAGGAAGTTCTAGGAACCACCTTTTAGATGACAAAATTAGGAAAAAGAATTCCACCAACACTGTCCAATATTGGTTCCAGATACATTAATTTCAATAACTTACCCTCTACTGTTAGAGTACCCATTTTGGATTCCAAGAAATCAAACAGTGTGCTTGGTGCAGATGGTCTGGCATTTCCTAGCTCTTCTTCATCTTCAGGTCTTATTCGGCCTCTGCCCTTCCCTTTACCTGTAAACATCAAAAGTTATTTGTGAGTGGGGAATACATTAAAAAAAAGTGTACACATTTTTTCATTTGATTTATAAAATGTTTGTATTTTCTATCTTTAAAAAATTCTATCATGGACAAAATAGATACAGACATTTTCCATTTAAGGATATTCAAATCTGTGACTTCAAATTCAAAAATTTTGACAAGAATACAATACACAGAGGTCTGTTCTAAGTACTTGCTTTCAGGTTTGCAATGCATTCTAAATTGCAGGAAAAAACATGCAGATATGCCTATATATACTCTAACTACATTAGTAATCCACCATACACAAATTCCTTTGCTCATAAACACTGTTTTAAAACATTTATTTGCAAATTTTACCTCTAGGTGGTGGTCCCTGAATGGGTTTCTGTTTACTGCTGTTCAGAAGAAAATTTAATGCTGCCTCTAGGCTGTTACTGTTATCCATAAGTGCCTGTCTTGCTGCTTCTTTGCTGAAACCCATCTCTGTTATGTGTCTTAGAGCTTTTTCATCAACCTGAAATAAAAAGTACACACAGAACTAATCATAAGATACAACAGAGACTATAAAAACACCAGATTTTACTTTAATTTTTCATTTTTAACTGAAACACTATTTCATATTTAATTGATGATAAATATTTCAGTATTATATAAAATCTCCACATACGATCTCTCTTAGGTCCAAACAATCGGCTAGTAGAGGCTTTTAAAAATATTATTATGATGATCTTTAATTCATCAGTTTTCAGGTCCAATATTATGTGGTTTCAAGCACAAATTCCCCTAGTCTACCTCTTCCTTTGCTGCACACTGGAGTAGTATGACAGACTGTAATATACTTTCTCCAAGATGAAAGCTAAAAGGAATCTCTCAAAGTAATACTGGTATAAAAACTAGCCATTTGTTCCTATTTGAACCCTTTCACAGCTTTTAGAGACAATACAAACCCAGTTATACAATACTTAAAACATGGAGAAAATATAATCGCTAAAGGTTCTGTAGAAGAAAGCAAATAAATACAAACAATTTACTTCCACAGAAATACAGGCTTTCTTACTCTAAACTGTATAGACCATGATAACAAAAATGGCAAATCAGGAATCACAGAGCATTATTTACAGAAAATAACCTTACATCTGCACTGTACTTTAAAACATTCAGGTGAGAACTGCCTCTTCCAGTGCAGACAGACCTACATGCACTAAACATGAAATGGGACTAGGCCCTGTCTCCTTCTTCATCCCATACCCAACCAAAATGATGCCATTTATCCATCTACTGCAACATCTGTAACCAAATATATTCTTAACTGGAGTCCCATCAACATGAAATTTTGTCTACAGGTACCAAAATAGCCGTATTGTGACCCTCAAAAAAAAAAACAAAAACAAAAACAAAACAAAACACAAAACCAAACCCAAAACCAAAACAAAACCCCAACCCAGCAGAATCTAACCTCTAAGATACAGAACCCCTTCCTTCTCCCACTGCTTAAAAGAACGTGAACTTTTATTGCTAGAATGATTTAAATTACAACTGTATGAGAGTTGTATGACAAATAACATTTAGCCCTTCCTCTCCACTGTTTTCCACAGTCTTAAGACTTAATTTCTCCAATCCTCATTTCTCCTGATGTTTTAATACATTCACTTTTTGTCTTAATTCTAGCTACACACTGTGCTCTGGGACAACAGGCATGAGCAAGTCTCCTTTTGGGGGCAGACACACAAAATCAGTGTTTATGGTCACTATCTCAATACAGGTATGTCTCAATACAGATATATCTCCATGCAGTAAGCCAGAAGATATAACAACTCAAATAACCCTCTTAGCTATGCATAAATCACTGTAATGGGCAAGACATGACTTAGCAGCACTTGGCTACAACTCCCACATGCTCAGCAACATTAACTCCAACGCTTTCACGTAGCCTTTATCCATTCCCAAACTCAACAATACTCTTAACTGTCCAAAGACTGACTACGTAAAGGAATGACAATTTAAAAGGTCTCTGAAGACCAATAGGGCAGAAACATGACCTCAGTGTCTGCAGGGAATCATCATCCCACTTGAGTTTGACTTCAAGTTGCCTAACTAATGTCTTAGGACAGAATATAATAGTTCCTCCTCTGGGCCATTCTCCTAGTTTCTTCTGCATGGCAACTAGGGTCCAGAGAGAAGTACTTCCTCAGCAAATCTGCTTCACTCTTCTCCCCTTTGTAGGTAAGTAGTTGGTTTGGATGAGAAGAGAACTTCTAGCCATTACTGCTGCATCACGTCCTTTCAGCAGTGGAAATTCTGTGCACGACAGCTACATTCAAAGACCAGTGGGAGATGAAGACTCATATATACACTAACTATACTCTCAGCTACAGATTAAAAAAAAATAATCTTGGATAGGTCACAATTTGAGACCTAAGGGAACAGCAATTTCCCATACACAGACTGTTTGAGAAAGGAGGTTGTATCTTAAGTATCTTTGGATGTCAAAAAGTCTCCCTTCAACTTCATTTACATGGCATAAATCTTGCTTCTCCTATACAAAATTGGAAAGACAAAGAAAATTGTAGGACATATCCTATAAGGACTATTAAGAGAGGAGGACGATTGACCTCCGCGATCTATTGTCTATCTATGAATAAACAGGAAAAATTACTTCTTTTTTTCTTGTTTTGTAGGTAAAGATACAGTGCTTCAGGTTTCTCAGAAGGTAACACACCAGATGGATTAAAAACTTTTAACCGTTTCTAAATATACACACAAGTCAACAATATACCCGAGAGCCAACAATCAAACCTACGTGATGTCACAATTCTAAAAAGACAAAACAAATTTGTTACCCATTGCTTTAAGATCTAAAAAGCATTACTTGTAACCAAAGAAGGCTTTCTATATACACTTACTGGGTTCATATTTGCTTCTTCTAAACAGCACCTAGCTATGTTAAATGACATAATACTAAGTTTTGAAAAGTTGGAAGTACTGCCATTTTACAGTGCAATGTAAGACAAATTTCTTGCAGTTCATAGTAAAAATTAGAAAACACAATAATTTAAACAATTACCCAATTTAAATTTTGTGGTGTTTTGTTTCTGTTTGGGGTTTTTCGTTGTTGTTGTTGGGTTTTTTTTTTTTGTTTTGGTTTTTTTTAAGTCTATTTAGGTCAAGACACAGTTGTCAAGAATGACAAGGTGTACCACTGGTCCTACACTGGGCAGACGGATGACTAAATGACCTCTTGAGGTCTTTTCAGCCTGTATTTCTAGAATACTGTATTGACATTTCTGAGCACAGTGCTGAAGGCAGCAGTGCTGGAAGCTCTCCTCGCTGCAAGATGACGACACAGACTACATAAAATTGTAACAGGCAGTTACTGTTCCTAAATGTATTTTCTTCTCATTATTTACTTTTACCAAAGATTTAACAAGGTGGAAAATTTTTAACAATAAATAAGTCGTATTTTAATACTGGTTTACTGAGTTACTACATTGTTGCAATGCCTCTTTCAGTCTGCCTTCATCACTCAAATTAGAATCATTAATTGTAGGACATATCCTATAAGGACTATTAAGAGAGGAGGACGATTGACCTCCGCGATCTATTGTCTATCTATGAATAAACAGGAAAAATTACTTCTTTTTTTCTTGTTTTGTAGGTAAAGATACAGTGCTTCAGGTTTCTCAGAAGGTAACACACCAGATGGATTAAAATAAATATTAAATTAATTCAGAAGAAAAGCTACATTAAAATATTATTTGATGTATTGAAATTGAAGGATGAAAGTCTTCCTGCCTAAAATGAATTAGTAAATGTTAACACGGAAAACTGTTAAGCTTATTTAAACAAGAAAATAAAACTATACTGTCATGTCCTATACCACATACACTACTATTTTTCTTCTGTGAAAACTTGGTTTTAAATTTTACTGGGTAAGACGACTTTTTTTTTTTTTTTTTACAAAAATCACATTGACACTTGTAACTATCTCAGTAAGGTACAAAAGCACCCTAAGTATTCTAATCAGACTTCAAAATAAATTGAAGGACAGAAAAACCCTTATTCTTTTTTATTTCTGTTACATTTGGGTTTGTGTGTTTTAATAGTACGCGTTTAAGGTTCCATTTAAGTCTTCCACCTTACCAGTTCTCGGTAGACACCTTCATTCTTTCCCTCAGGTTTTGTTATCTTCTCTTTCTGGAACAGTTCCCTGTTTCGATTCCCTCCAGCACTCACACTGAGATTACTTCTGCTGCTACCACCACCTCCTCCAAACGTCTTGGTCTTCAGATAAGCACAAAAATAACATTTCAGTAAACAGAACTTATGAAAATAAGCCTTAATATTTAGCTAGTAGAAAAAGTGCAGTAAATTTGATGCAGCTGTATTTTTATGATTATGCTTTGCATCAACAAATAAAGCACTAATTTACACACACAAAAAAGATTAATTTATTAGGTAGGTATTTTTTTTCACCCTATGCCCAAATGAGACTATAAAAAGGGTAGTTCATTCTAGTTTTTATGACTTATCAAGCAAATTTGAAAAATAAACTAAAAGGAAAACCAATGGAGAACATAAAAACCTGACACATTAGAACTAAAATTCCTAGCTATTCTTTCAGACTGAACGCAGGGAATCATGGGTGTTTGAGAATTGAAAAAAGGAGATGAAAATTGATAACCTGTATTTATTACTTAAATCTCATTAGCTGAATTGTAAAAACCACATTTTTTTAATAGTGGTATCAAATCAAAATCATATCTACAATAAAACATTATGTTACATTTATTAGCTTTATTAAAATAAGACCATACCCATCAATCCAGAAGGACTCTATTTTTGATTCATCTTTTTAAAGATACATGAGTAGAATTATAAGCAGGCAAACATCAGAAAGCATTTGTCATTTAAGAGAAATACTTAAAATACCAAGAAAAGATCAATCACAGTAAGTAAAATGCTGCAACACATGCTTTCTAACCTCCTTGCTCTTTGCTACTTCTGCAATAGCAGCTGTTCTTTGCTTTTCAAATTCATCATTGTCCACAACAGTTTTTACAGTATTTGTCATTTGCAGAGTCTTTCTGCGATCAAGCTCTCTGCTATCCACTTGCACGTGAGATGCACATTTCTGAAAATGCAAAAGAAAGTTTTAATTAACTCCTCTGCCTACTCTAATTTGAAAAAAAATAAAGTATTATTCTATTAAAGTAGGACAACTTTATCTAAAGAATATGATGGCAAAAATGTACACCTGGGACATCTAGATGTCTTTGCTGAAAGCATACTCCTCCGGTCCACTAAAAGGGCCAAAAACAATGACTTTTACATTTTAAGCTTATTTCATGATGTAGCTAGTATGCTTCTTGTAAATACCTTTAGCATTTACGAAGGGATTGCATTAGGGCCTACAAGATCTGACTGGAAGAATCAAAGGCTCCACATACTAAATTAAATTTAAAGTTTGAAATTGAGTGGAAAAATGCAAATATAAATTGGCACAACAAAGTGACAGGATCAAAGCAATTTTTTTTTTAAAAACAGGCACATTTTTTAGATGCAAGCCATCATGATCTAAGGTGTTTTGATAGCCTTTATCTAACTGGAACCAAGTCCCCTAGATATCATGATACAGGGTTTATTTTATGAAATGACAAAGGGAAGTATACTATACCTGCCCAAAAGGTACAAAAGGGGGAGGGCCACCTTCTGTTCCAATGTTACTTCTATTGTGTTTTGCTAAACTCTGTAAAAGAAAGTTGTTGATTAATAAATTGCAAACAGAAAACAAATTATATGATAAATGTCTCTATTTCAGAAAGTATACAAAACTTGCAAGATTAACATTTTAAGCATAAAAAATGATATACTTAAAAGCCTGGGGCACTTAACTTAAGGAGAAGGTTGGATGAAGGGCAGGGAGATGAAGAAAATGATGAAAATTTGCAAAATCATGAAGGCAACACACACAACAAATGCAAAAAATGCAGTCATATACCAAAATCTACACTAACAGAGCAAAGCAGCACACAAATAGGCAGCAGATGTTTCTTCACATAGCACCCAGTGAACTTGCTGCCACTAGAGGTTGTGAAGGCATACAGTTTCAGCATGTTTAAGAAGGAATTGGACCAATTCAGCCTAGAGAACATAAGGTTCAGGGGGATCTTACCAATCTACACAACACCTGAAGGGATACTGTAAAGAAGATGGAGTCAGGCTCTTTTCAGTGGTGCCCAGGGACAGGACAAGAGGCAATAGGCACAAACTGAAACATGGGAGGTTCCCTCCAAACATCAGAAATCACTTTTTTTTTTTTTTTTTTTTTTTTTTCCCGTGAGGGTGACCGAGCCATGACACATGTTGCCCAGAGAGGTTGTGGAATTTCCATCCTTGGAGATATTCAAAAACTGCCTGGACATTGTCCTGGGCATCTGGCTCCAGGTGGCCCTGCTTGAGCAGGGCGGTTGGACCAGATGATCTCCAGAGGTCCCCTCCAACCTCAACCATTCTGTTAAATTCATGAACCCATGCATAAGCAAATACTGAAAGGATTAGTCAGGACTGTATCCCCTGATAAAACATAATACAACAATTCTGGATGCCAAGGATGTATAACTGCTCAGGCTGTGTGCTCTCCCTAAAAAACATCTCTTTTTGCCACTGTTGGAAACAAAATACTGTGCCACTAGGCAATTTCCCCTACAGCCTTATGAAAAGTACAGTACATATGTTAAATTGATCTGCAGATCTTTGGATCACAAAGACCGTAACAATTAGTGCTACATAGTATCTATAGAAGTGCTCTAAAGTCCTAGCCGCAATCAGGCAATCAGTGACCTAGACCTGAAAACAAAGCATTCTCAAATAATAAAATTGCATTAAAGTATCTGTTCATAGTTGATACTTTTTTTCTTTCTTTACAAATTGTGATAACAGCAGCAACCTGCAAAAGAATGAAATTCACTGGAATTGACATTTGGTTCCATGTTAATTATTTCATATTACACAGAAATATTTGGTTTCACAAATGGAAGAAGGAAGAACAGGTACTTAATGCTGTTAAAATGCTTCAAAATTGCATTTCCTATAAAGCATCTCTTTTATCATCTTTATTTCTTATTGTCCCTTTTTTCCCCCTGGGACAGTCATGCATGATTACATACATCATTCCCTACTCCTCATTGGCAGAGAAAGTTTTAATTACTCAAGGCTATATGTGACATTTACCTATACATTTATTACCCTGATGTAAAATTGATTTAATTGTATCATGCGAGTACTGTAGTATAAACATGAATATGCTTTAAGCCATTATACTATCAGAGAATTTCTTAAAATAAAAGATTAATTTGGCTAACTAATACCCAAATCAAAACTTCTGGTCCACTCTTTTCAAGTTAACTACTTTTATTCAGGAACCAAAGACCGTTTCCTAAATCATTTATGGTTGTTAATTCCTTTCAAGGGTGGGGAAAAAAAAAAATCCTTTCCTCATGCCTTGCAGCAAAAGCCACTGATAAAGTATTCAATAAATTATTCAAAACAAAGCACTTAGAAGTGCAGAAATCATAACATTTTTCTCTTTCAGTTTCTACCAGTTCACTTAAAGTGCTGCCTTAGAATTACAAGCTAACCAAGGGCTGATCACTGTAGCACACTCATACCTTCCTGCATCTATTAACTGAAGCAGCACAGTACAACAGTTATTTCATGGCCAAGCTACTTCGCTTTCCCAGGGTAGGCATTCTAGGTCCAATAAACCCTACACTTTTTTTTTCTTTGGATCTAGAGAAATGTAGGCAGTTCTGGAATGGACTCCAGCACTGAATCAAATTAAAATAAAAATATTTATATGATAAGGTAAGAACTCAAGCATTTGATCATAGTTAATTCCTCGTATCCTGTAATCAGAAAGAACATGCTTAAGTTTAAGGACACACTTATTTTCAAGGAAATCAGAGAAACACATACAAGAAAAAGACTGTTCCAAACTACTGCTCAAACATCTAATTTGACAAATAGCAAAAAAAGCACTTAAAAACTAACTGCGTATTTACTAACATTTATTAACATGGATTTTGAATCATAACGATTTATTACATAAAATTGTTATCCAGAATGAAAGAACGCTGCCTAATGGTAAATAACAGCCTTGACACTTTCTTCTCAGGTAGAACTGTCTGCTGAGAAGTGCTTTGGAAATCAAATTTCACTTTGCACCCAATAAAAAGCAAACTGGCAACAAGAACAATATTTTGTAATTTACAATTAAATTTGCTTGTAGCACAGCACTAACTATCATTTACAACAAAGTTAGTTATAAATGCATTCAGTATGCTTCTTTTATCCTTTCTGCTGTATTTGGATTGTGACATTAAAAAAATATTTTCTAGGGAATCGCTTAAGAAACAAAGGTTTACAATTTAAAACTGAACTCCTAGATATTGTATGCTATTATACCCTCACGCTTCTTTCTAATATGAATTTTGAACGATACATAAAATTACTCCTTTTTCCCATCAGGTAACCTCAATATTTAGCCTGGCCTTCACCAAAATAGAAGAATCATTAGGTATACTAGAGAACTTTATTTTTAGATAATCCATAATTTGACAAATTCTATGTTTTAAAAATACAAGGGCCTACCAGTCTCACCAATCATCTCAGCAAAATTTGCTTCAGCCTTCACTTACATATCATCTGATATTTTGATTAATAGCAATACAAAGTACTTTTCCTTCATAAGAAGGGTAGCAGCAATATCTCACAGATACTGATTCTCACCGATTGAAACACCAGTCACCACCAGAACACTAGGAACACTATTAAGTAATAATTATTTGGAACTGTATTCTCACATAAAGAAGCCCATGACACATAACCTCATATTTCCAAATAGTCTAGAAAAAAGATCACACAGTAACATTCTCATTTACTCCCTACTTACTTATTTACTGTCACTCAAACAGCAACACTCAAAAAAAATTGAAATTTCCTGGCAAGAACTACCTTATGACAAAATTGAATGCTACAAGGAATACCGCATTTATTCCACATGCAGTGTGATAATACTGCATTCATTCCACACACACGATATTTGTAGTGCAAGTCTTTCATTACTAAAACTTGATTGCTTTCGGGAGGAATTTCAAACAACATTCTGAATGGAACAAAACAGTAATGCAACTATGCAACTAGAAGCTGACATGTAGGTGCAAGGGCAATAATTTAAAACAGGATAAACAACTTCAATTCTAACGTTTTGTAATATTATTTGACTTAATAGCACTAGCTTATTTCATCGTCTACACAAGAAGCCTAATTAACAATTCACAGACACTGTAGCAGAGAGAAAAAAAACTGGCTTCAAAACAAGTAATTTGAAATAGTCACACAAATACAAGTTTTCTGTCATTTTATGCAAACACAGTTCAGCATTTGATTTAAGCTTCAGTGGCAAGATTAGACAAGGAGAGGCAACGTCCTCATTCAAAAATCTTTGAGAGTTGACAATCTTGCTTATTTGTCAACTGTCCTCTTCTGTAAAGCTTTCTGAACAGGACAGAAACATTGAGTTCACGAGGAAACTGCTATCAAAGTAGCATCTGGCTTCTATAGACTTGTTTGAGCCCTATCTGTCTAGCTGTCAGTCCAGATATAGAACTGGAACTACGATTTCCAGTGGTCATGGTTCACCTGTCTAGACTGATTTCATGTCACCCACAGCTTTTCTGACATGGCCACGTTCACGCTGGGAACTTGATCGTGTGCTGTTAACTGGTCAACAAGAAAAACAAAAGGATACTCTGGCAAACCGCAGGATGGAACCAGAGAATTGAGGGGATAGCAAGAGGCAATAGTTAACTTTCTATACTTCATCTTCTCAGAGCAAATCAGTGAAAACTTAGTTACCTCTCTTTTAAACATATCACATAAAGCCAACAGAACTGGCTAAAAAATGCTGAAAGTTTTTGTAGTCAGCAGCACGCCAATGGTTATTAAATGGTTTGCTATCTTGTAAACAGAACATGTTCCGAGTTACTTCTTGACATTGACCTCAAAAACAAATTAATATTTATAAAGCAACATTTACTTGCTGAAGCCCAGACAGAAGAAACATGAAAACAGACTGTCCAAAACCACCAAGAAAGCTAACCGATTTTATTGACCCTTCTCTTACAAATTAGATGGCATTCTTAAGAACGTGTTAGTTCTATGTGTCTCTCCTGCGTCCCCATCAATCTTAAAACTTAGTGTTTTTTAACTGGAGAGAGGACTGACAAGACTATACTAAATATGAATAAAAATGATAAAACGGGATGTTTTTGCTGTTGGCCTCAGAACCTTCTTTTTAATCAAATAGGCAGCTTCATTTAAAACCCGTCATGTTTTTAAAAAACTATTTTCAATTATAAAAGCACAAAAAGGATGCCAAACAGAAGCAACTAGAATGGACACTGTGTAACTCAAACGTTCAAATAAATTTTGGCCCGGTTTGCTCAGATCTATAAAATGCAAACAAACACCAAAGGTTAGCCATAACAAAAACAACTGTGCCGAAGTTGGCATCAGCAACAATAAAAGAAGTATTTTACACAGAAATGACCATTGTGTTCATAAGCAGCTACTCTGTTTCAGAGACACGGATGTAGAAATATAGAGCTATGTGTGGCAGTAGTAGTGATAGTTGATCTGGCAAGTATTTGGGACTGTTGGTAGCAGGGTCACAACTTCCTGCCCTAGGAACTGCCACTCATTTGTGAGCAAGTGTACGAAAAAGTCTTTCTGCAGCAACTTCTGTTCTATTGGGACAGAAACCAGGCTAAAACAGAGTAAAGGGGCTTACAAGTATTTATGGCTTGTAGAAAGATTTTAAAACCTCCTATTTGTCTTTCTAATCACAAACCTACCTAAAGCACTGATGAAATCTGCAATAGAGAATTCATACTTAAGGTTACCAACTTCTATGCTTTCCGTACACTTACCACATTTTTTTTGCCTCAAAAATATACAGTCTGCAGATGGTAGTTGTAAAAGGCATCATTCTGTAATATTGTGGTACCAAATACACTGTTTAGGAAAGCAACAACCCGTGACTGCACTAAAATAAGTTTAATACATTTGTTTAATATTTTCAATCCCTGCAGACTACGAAAGGAATCAGGTCCCATGCAAAGATCGCTTATAATTTCTTCATTTACAAAATCATACATAAGACCTATTTATATATATTTGCCTGCATCCCTAAAAATATTGGGACAGTAAAGTTTTAAAAGCTTATCATATGAAAGTTCACAGTCAACACATTAAGCTTGATGTCATTAAATGTAATATGCATCCTGTAAGACAAGCATTTTGAGTGGTGTTACCTCACCCTTTGTAATTCCCACTTTTCTATAAGATGCTCCACTTCACCCCCGAGAACTGCTGTGTTACTGTCATCCAACAGCAAGAATCCATTTTTCACTTCAACAATTCCTGAAAGCTTAATTTTTGTTCCAGGTGGAGTGTTCAGACTAGAAGCAGAAACAAAGCCAAATATTTCAAATACGTTTATTAATATTCTGCCACCAAAAACATATAAAACTCTACTCTTATTACACTTCCAACAATGTTGTATTTCATAATAAAAAATTAGCATCAAAAACTTTTGCAATAATTCCTTCAGTATGAACAGTACTTTTCAATAGCTTTATTGGAACACTTCCCATTCATTACACAAAAATGCCATATTGCAAATTAGATTCTAACAGAGATGAATGTTTGCAAATTGTCTGTTTGGTTAAAATCCAATTTAACAGTACCACACTAAGGATGTGATTTGTTTAGACTAACATAAGATATCTCAGAGTCAGTCGCCTAAGAATAAGTTCCTCATCCTAGGATGTATTTATAGCTAATAAATAGAGTATCTCCAGATGGTTAATCATCTCATTTGTTTTACACATTTAACTTAGGAGAAAACAAAGAGCTATTAGAAAAGAAGCTTTCTATACATTACTAACAGCCAGGACTGTACCAGAATAAATATAAAACACATGCATCTTGTAGTGCTGCTTCTCTCGTTACTCCATCATTTAAAAACATATGGATGCTCTCTGTGGTCAACTCCCACAAGGAGGTACCTTACCTTTTTTCATGTGAATCTACCCTGTGAAAAACAACAGCAGATGCATAAAAGAATCATGCATCTCCAATCCGTAATTGAAAGATATGACAAGCAGCACAATCTGGAAACTGATTTTTCTTGTGAGAAACAGGACAGAGTCAGTTATAACCTTTCAGCTGAGACACAATACCCTCTTTAAAATATGCTAAAGCTATTGTTGCAATCACAGGACCATACCACATGGTAAAGAACATTCACAGTGGAGTCAGCCAATTTCAGCACTAGTAGCATTAACCTTAGCAATATTCATGGATTTTCAGTATTGTTCTGATAAAAGCAAAGAAAATGACATCAGAAAAAATAGACAAGAAATATGGCAAAAAACGAAAATTATGCAAAGGGGGGGGTGAGGGGTAAATGGAAACCCCAGTCATGAAGAACTTCTTTTTTAAAAGAAAACTGTGATTTTTATTTAATCATTTATTTAAAGAAACACTATGTATTGAAGCAGCATATTATTCCAGGTTAATAGCCCAACTTCAAACCTGAAACAACCACATACAACACAAATCAAATTTTCATACAATGTTACTTGAAAAGAAGAGCTCCCATCATCAACTACAGTGATGAGTTCTCTGACATTTTTGAGATTTTATCTAAAAGCTTTCAAGCCTGTTTGCCTTCTGTTTCTGCTCTCTATATTCATGTTGGAATATGATACTCGAAGTTCTGTTGGCTCAAGCTAAAATTAAAATATCATTAAGTGTTCTCCCTTTTAAGAGAGCATCACTCTAAACTGCAAGCTGGCTCCTGCTCAGGAGCAGTTTAATAGTAAAAGATGACATTCAAAAATGATGTATATACCTACATCTAACTGTTGCAGCTAGCAGAGAAAGAGAGAGGAAGAAGGTATTTTTTAAATCAGAGTAATCTGAACTAGAGTGAAAAGCAAAGCACACCATGACTCCAGAGACTAAACACAAATTTTCAGTATCTTCATAACCAAACACACAAAAAATCCTCGTGTTAAACAGTAATTAGCTCTCTTACCCTTCATACGTAACTGAAGGCTATTTACTAATTCAATCCAAGTTAAAGTCTTGCCCATGGTAAAGCAGTACTAGTTGCATTAAGTTAGGTGTGTCAGGCCTGTGATATTCCTGCTACCAAAGTCAAGCAAAAGACCCGCTACTACTAAAAATTGGGAATTTGGCTCAAGTTTGCACACACCCAAAATGCTGCATGCCATGTCAACTCCAACTCGGTAGACGGCTGCCAAAATCCACTTTCTTCCATTACGTACTTCAGCATAAACGGTATTGTAAATTACATTCATACACACCTTTGCATGCTGAATTTAAGGTTCTCTTTTATATACAAAATTTGAGAAGGAAGCCTGTTTTGTCAAGCAATTTTTCCATATATTACTAAGGACACTTCCGTTATTTTAAGGACATTTAAGCAGCAAAGCAAAACTTTGAAAATAAAGTTGTGTTCACCTTATTTTTGACATGCTACTGTATTCTATAGCTGTGCAGCTTGTGTGTCCATCGGTCATCTGTAAACGTAACATTCTGGGAGCAGCCTGAGATTCTTCATTATCCTTTGGTGCAGCAACATTGCGTATTTTCTGTATTTGCAGAACACATGGCCCTTCCAGCTATATATGCAAAACAGAAAAGACAAAACTGTTAACACCATTAAGCAAACACACTGTAATATCTAGACACACTAACAGATGCCCCCAGGCAAAGGAAAGTGTAATTTGATCAGGCAGTCATGTTCAATTTCTATCACTCATGTACTGTATGTTCTAAAGCATGATAAAAATGGCTTCTTCAGAGAAACAGTTGTGATGCTGCATACATCTCTGCGATACCAATTATGGAAAAGAAGTGAATGAAAAGGCAGGGGGGACACACGGACGAAACAAAACCACCAATATTGTCACTTCCAGCATACTATGGAGTTCCGGATAAGATTTCACACGCTGTGCCGCAGGGTCTCATCGACAAAGTGTTCTAAAGAAAAAAAAAACACCTTCGAAGACTATCTAGTTGTATCAAGAGTACATTTCAAGTGCAACCGCTTTATAAACACTAACTAGAAACACAGCTTCTTCAAACAGAGGTGCAATCAGAACGTAACAACCTCAAGAGACATCGCTATCTGTTGGTTACCTAAAAATGCAGCATATCCTCCTATACACTTCACAGTTTATGTTACAATAAAAAACCAAAATAAAACAAAAAACCCTGAAAAACAAAAAAAACCAACCTGAAACCAACCAACCAAACCACTTCATCACATTTCAGTTATAGCTGAGTACACAGTCATTTTGATCTCTCTAAGAAATAAAAACGAATAATCAGTTGCCGCTCAACTGATCTTGAGCGCCTACAAGACAGCAGAAAAGATGAAAAAGTGTACATTTCATCAGCTTCTTCCCTTTCAGAAACAGAACAGGTAGCCCAGAAGAACACAAAATGAGAGCAGGTAACCAGGAGGTAAATATGTAAAAAGAAAAGAGAAATTAATAAATAAAATAGAAGCAGTGAAACTAGATAAATTAGAAGATGAGGAAACAGGAACTTTAAGATGAGAACAAAAGAGAAAGGAAAGTACTTCGGAGTAGCAACAAAGCACAAAATTGTACTAAGAGGGGGAAAACGGACACTAAAAAGAGCAAAAGCAGCACCCCATGAAGTTCACTTCCTAAATGGTTTTGTGATCTTGAGACAACAGCTGGTAATATAAACTAAATTTTCTACGCAATTTTCCTATTCTTGACACTTCCAAATAAATTTAAAATTTGCAGGCACCTGCATTGTTTATGACTTCAAATCAAACCATGGAAAATACAGTATCTGGGATGGAGGATTTCTCAAAAGCTGAAGAAGTTGTTTATTTGGAATCTACTGAAACTTGAAGCTTTCTTATCTTTTTTCTTCAATACTGAATGTTTGAAGAAAAGAGCATAAGTAAGAACAACAATATTTTTAGCAAATGCTGACTGAACCTTATTTCTTTCAGTAACAATTAAAAGACTAATTCTGTTTCTCATACAAATGGAAATTTTTTCCCTTTATTTCAACAGAAGAAAACTGGATAATCTAATGTATAGTATGAAAACAAGTTCCCCTCCTCTATCAGTTAACTACAGCAAAGAAGCCACAAAAAAAAAAAAATTTCTCAAGTTTTTGTACGAATGATTCTTTCTATAGTAGTTAATCAAACACAGTGCCACACTCATGTGTTGCTTCAACGGAAGTCTACGCTTGTCATAAATTAATGCTAACAGTTTTTAACATTATACGATGTTTTCAAAGTAAAGATGAAGAAACACTAGTCAACTAAGAAGCATTTCTGGTTAACCACAACTAGCTTTGTCAATCAGCTGAATAGTAGCTTTACTGTGATGGCAATTTCTTTCAGAGATGTTGAGCAAATTCTAGTTCTAAGTACTTGGTTTTGGTTTTAAACAATTGTTTGGTAGATCCTTCAAAAAAATTGGAGTGCAAAGAAATGAGGGCTAGGCTAACTAGAAATATACATGCCAATATGTTCAGGGTTTTGTGCCTACAGTGTCAAGCATACACTATAATAAAGCAGAGCTGCACATCTGTTGAGCTTGGACAATAGTGTCTGCTGCTTTAATGAAGAAAATTACCTGTCACTTCAGAAAACAGGTGCAAAAGAGGAATGGAAGCATGTGCTTTTCACAAATACACACCACATTAACACCACAATTATTTTTATGGACTTAATCAAGACTTTAGAGCATCCACATCTCCCAGTTCCAGTTCAGCTTATTTCCCCTCTCATCACATAAAACAAGCAAAGGAGAAAACGACAGGAGAAAAGAAAATCAGTCTTCCTGCAGAACAACGACAACCAACACCAGATTCCAGCTGAAACCAGATGAAAGAGAAAACATTTCAAGACATCAGCTAAATCAATTTAATTATTTCTAAAAATGGACAATATGTTCGGCTTGCTCTAATCACAAGTTCTTTCTTTCAACACTTCTACAGCCTCTACTCTTTAAAAAAGGGAACTGCAATTTGACAAAACTGTAGTAATATCTGGAATGAAAGGATACATGTTTTGTAAAGATTAATGGCTTTGTAAACATTTGTACATTTTACCACACTTTGTAAAGGTTAGTGGCTATTCAGCATAAGAAACAGATGAGAGGGTGAAAAGTAATACATTAAATACACAGATACAGAAACCCTATCAAACAGCCCACAATGGAGACGGTAGCAAAGTCCAGAACTCTTAAAACACTGACTGATGGGCCACTGTAGTGTAACTCAATGGCCCATCACGTCCAACCTTTCCATGGATCTCGTGGAAAAGACCAAACTTATAACAGGATGGACATGAAGGGCCACAGAGATGATTAAGGGACTGGAACATCTCTCTTATGAGGAAAGGATGAGAGAACTGGGACTGTTCAGCCTGGAGAATGACAATGGGCACAAAGTGAAACACTGGAGGCTCCATCTGAACATGAAGAAAAACTCTTTTACTGTGAGGGCAATCGAGCACTAGAACAGGCTGCCCAGGGAGGCTGTAGAATCACCATCTTAGAAGATACTGAAAAGTCATCTGGACATAGTCCTGGGCACCCAGCTCTAGGTGGCCCTGCTTGAGCAGGGACGTTGGACCAGATGGCCTCATCTGGTCCCTTCCAGCCTCAACCACTCTGTGATCCTGTATCTGTTTTCTTGTATACAATCCCATATTATTATTTAGGTAATGCCTTCATTCTTGGGTTTCATATAGTACAGTTGTAGCTTGCTCTCTCCAGAAGCATTTACGAAGTGGACAAGCAACTGCACACATGTTAAGGCTAGAATGCTATGAAAAGCGGTGCAGATGATTTTAATTTAAAAAAAAAGAAAAACAAAAAACAAAACCCAAACCCCAAAACACTTAAAGAAGAGAAAAAATTAGAAAAATAAAGAAATTGCATTTTATGTGCCGTAGTAGTATAAACAGCTTTCAGTGATTAGAGTCTAAAGGATGCAAATAAGAGTACACAACACAGGCTAAATGAGTTTAGGAAGGAAGACTAGCTTTATCCGTCATTAATCCCGTAATTAACACTCTGCCTACTTTTTCAAGGTGAAAAATATAAGAACAATATCTTATACTGTATAATGGCATTAAAATATTCATACTGTAGGTTTTACATTAACGCATGGGAAAACTACTGGGTAAGTCAGAATCTGAAATTTGAAACGGCAGAAAGAAGCATAAAAGGAATGACTGAAAATGAAAGTTTAATAAAAAGTTATTGAGACATACCACATCCCACTCCTTTATCCACAAAACTTATCAGTGTTAATTCAAGAACACACATGACTTGGAAAGAAAAAAAACAAATAAAAACCAAACAAAAAACCCAAAGTGCACAAATATCCACACTATCTTATACATAGAATATACTCAGGTCTTTCTGGACATAGTTTAAATTAACTAAAACATCATTCGCTCATGTGCAGTTAACTTATAGGCTTCCTCAATATGAAGAAACAATTCTAATACTTATATCATGTCATGTTCAGAAAAAAAAAATTCTGAAATACTAACTCTACACATTGAGTGGAGGGGAATAACTGATCAACACTGGAGATACTATCTATCTACAACAAAACAATAGCCTTTCCAGCACATCCGGAAAGTCAGTAAAACTGTTTTGTATCTATGCTCTTCAAACAGTGCTTACACCTGCCTCAATGTCTGCCAATTAAGACATTACTGCTCACAAACAGGGATTAAACCACTACTGCCATCCTCTGAATGAGAGGAGATGCTCCAGATCAAGCTAGGGTGTCAAAATATCTAGAAGCATAATTGCCAATGTGATCAAGGTAGAAAATAGTGTTCTAATAAATCAATCTCTTCAGATCCCTAAGTTAGAGACAGAATTTCAAACAATGCCTAACGGCTGCCTAATAATTTTCAACAAGTTTTGCAATATAGCAACTAGACTATTCTACTCTTTTCAAGACTTTTAGTGCACCGTCTTCCTAGAGGCATTCCTTTGACACAAACTGGTCTGAAACCAAATACTAGTTGGCTTCTCACAAAGATTTAGCTCATTTTATCTAACACTGTATACTTTTTCTCAAAAATATGGAAGTAATCATGCCTTTTTAAGAGCTCCTGAAATAGATGTTAGGAGCTAAAAACACAATCAAAACACTGATGAAGGTGAAGAGCTCAAGGCCCACAGCTTACCTAAGGCTGCCAAACAGCAATTTCTAAAAAGACTATGACTCAGTTCGCTCTGTCAGCATTACCACACACATAGTCTTGTCAAAATCATCTCAACTGCAAAAAACACAAACAATCAACTAGAAATACGTAGGATAATTTTTGACACATGCAGTATCAAGCGCAGTGACATCAGCAGACCTGATGTAGCAACCGCTTTCACTGGAAGGTAAAGACAAGCACCTGAAGACTGGAGGGTTTTTTTTAAGTTCTAACTGGAATAGCAAATCGGATCATCCTTTTATTAATTAAAAAAAAAAAAAAAATCCTGCAGGAAACCAAAATCCACAATCAAAGAAACACTAAAAGGCAACAAAGCACAGTTATTCGTATTAAAGTAATGAGGCAGAAATTGGGAAGTGTATCAGTAACCTTAAACAGAAATTGGAATCACTGGCAACTTATGTTTCAGCTGCATACTATCAATCTGTTGCAACTCAGAAAGCATCTCTTCGAGCTCAGAAATTAAATCCTTTCTGAATGCTTCTTCTGGAATGAATGTTTCCATGGTAATAGAACATATATATTCAAAAGAAAACCAGTTACGCCTTAAACATAACATCATTACTAAATTATACGTTATAACTTTATAGTCTTCTCTGCATTTTTATTCCATTAAAAACACTTAACATATATTTATGGTATATAGTCACCTGGATGGAAATGGGAGGGTTCAGCTTTTTCAAATCCTATGCAAATGTGGCCATCTTGTGGTTAATACTGGTATTATTGATTTTTTTTAATCCGTACAAAACACAGACACAAATTAGTGACTAAAACATTTTTGTGTATTAATGACTGAAGTTGATAACCACCTATAATGGTCAAATACCCATGTTGTTTCACAGTAGGACTCTATGCCAGCTTTTATGCAAATATTTCCCTATTACACTAATACTACAAAATAATTCTCTATGCAAGATGGAAATACATCATATGTTCTCAAGATACAGATAACTAATACTGATCCTAGTCTTGGATGAGAGGAACAATAGTAGCACATTATTTCTATTGTTTCCTGAAGCATTTTTGAACCACAAATGACTGCTTTCTACTGACAGATTATATTAATAAGTCACTCCTGTCCCAACCGTATCCTTTACTTGCATAAAGCAAATACTCTTCTTTATAAACACATAGTTCTGTAACAAAATATTTGTATACATTACAAGCTAAATAGCAGCACTTATGAAGTGGTCAGATTTGCTTTATATTACTCAAAAAAAAGGGAAACATTACAGTTAAGAAAACAAAGATTCAGCACACTGTCTAACAGTCATTCTCAAAACACAGACTTTTTCTATGCAATCATTACTCCTTTTCAAAACCTGAAGGATTATCATCCTCCAGCAAATGATTTGCAGGCATTTGTTTTGGTTTGGTTTGGGTTTTTTTAGAATAATTTTCTAAGATCTATGATCCAAATAAAGACAGTTGATTAAAGTAGAACCAAACTAAATTTTACTAGAAGTTCACATGTAAAAAACCCTGGCTCCTTAACAATACTGATAGAAGTGTGTAAATCCCTAGGATTTAACAAACATCATTTGTTAAACAAACATTTGTCTTTAGCAAAGGCCATAGTTTTCTTCTGTCCTGCCTGTTTCCTCCAGCTTCTCAAAATTCCTGCTGTTGTCAAAAGTCACTACCTCGGAGAAAAAAATATCTTTTTTCCTCTGTATTTTCACTCTTTAACCATTAAAAATGGAACGAGTCTGTAAGCACTGATCTCTCAACTCTCTGACAATCTGGGAAACAGAAATACCTTGAATCAAACAAATTTTCCAAAAGAAAGTTTGGATTGGACTGGATTCAACCCTATTATCCAGTCCTCCATCTCTATCAACTGTAAGACAATCCCATGTGGAAATTTATCAAGCTCCATTCAGTAACAGTTCCTTTTTTTTTTTTTTTTTAATTTAGGATCCTACATATGTACTGTTCTGTACTGCCAGTAACTAAAATGAGAACCCTTGAAAGGACACACAGTACCACAACGCAGAACATACACTCAGGAGACAGCAGCAAGTTTAATAGGGATCCTTGAAAATTAAAGTAGAACTAGACTTTTCTCACCTTTTCCACCTTTTCATTTTCTGAGATGTTCAGTTTTACAAAATATAAATGTATTTGTGTGTATACAGGTGCAGAAGGTTTTTCCCCCGAAAGGGTAGCTGTTATCTCACAGGTATTTCAAAGCACTAACCACCACAGTTTTCAAGCACACATCCCTCATTTTTGTGCAGAGGTTTTGTATTTTGTGGAAACGAGTGGCACAATTGCACCTTCTCTACTTTGAGCTGAGACACATGAAAAACCAAAGCAGTGACTTGAGCAGCTAAATTAGAAGCAAACATTTTAGATTCTCATATATAATGTCCATCAAAGCTTCGATGAAATTAATGACACTTTTAGCTTTAATTTACCACTTGAAATACATAATGACAACAGAAATTTTGAAAACATTCTCTCTAAAGGAAACGGACAAGTTACTAAGTATATTGTCAAGTGATAAATGAAAACTGAACAACTACCTCTAAAGAAATCATACCATAATGCAACAAAACTCTGAAAAAACAGTACTATTAAAGTCACTTTGAACCAAAAACATGTTTCAACAGCAAAACCAAATAAGGCAAACATTACCTCACACACAACCTTAATACTCTGCAGAGTTACACTTGACCAATTACATTTGGACCTTGTGAATATTACATGATCTGAAATGCAAAATTCAGTAATACTCCAATTAAGCAACTGAGAAACAAGCAATGCAAAAACAGATGACATAAAAAGCAATTATTTTGCTTGTTTTCCATATTTCAAAAACAGGATACTGAAGAGGAAAAGAAATTTTAAAATCAGACAGAAGAAACAGCTAAATCAAAAACTTTCAGGTAGTAAAAAATTATTTAAGCACTGAAGTATCTTTAACAGCAAGTTATCCAGAAACCTAAACAGATGAACAGTTTCATAAAATATCACCTTGATTTTTTAAGTAATACCTGCAAAAAACATAGCTCCAAATAGTAAGAAATAAAGTTAAAACTGAACTAACTTTCTGGGAAAAGTAAGTAATATGTTGCATGCACAGACTGTTGCCTAGCTAAAAACTATGATCCTGCAATACACTATTTCTGCAGTGTGCTTTTCATATCTGATAATAATGTTCCTGTTGTTGTTCTTATAGAAGCCAGCATTTACAGCAGTCACCACTCCATTTAGACAATAGCATCAGCAGAAAAAACAAATCCAAACAGCTCTTAACAGCTTCTCTCATCAATCTTGTTTTCTTAAAACAAACCCGCCTTGATTTATCACTATTCGAATTTCAACAGTAATGAAGTATGTTTCGCCAGAACTTTCACATCAGTGATACAGACTGTCAATATTTGGAAGTTAGGGATAACAATTTGAATTGAGAACTACTACTAGGTTTAAAATTAAATTCCTCCATTTATCCACTCTCTTAACTGCATGTGAGGAAGAAAACAGGAAGGGTGTACTGAAGGAGCCAAATTTAATTTTTATGTAAACATACAACATATATTAAAAATCCAGCACATCCATGTTTCGAGTATACTACTATTCTGTAGCATATAAAGTATCATAATCATACAGCTGCTTTGCTTTATTCCTAACCTGCCTTGTTACCCTCGCAAGAACAAAAGAGGAGAAAAAAGGAACTTCTGATGCCACATCAAGATCAAACAGGTTAAATGACTTTTGAATGATAAAATAAGTTGCTGGGGTTGTTTGCATTTATTTAAGCATTTCAAAGTGGAGAAATAAAGAGAGAGTCCCCTCTTTATGAAACCTAGTGGGAAAACTATTATGCTCATAGATTTATCCTATAATATACTCAAATACTGGGTTCTTTTGTATGTGAAATAATGACAAAACGAGACTAATGCACCATAGAAAGCTGTCATCACGCAGAAATCACAGAACACAGAAGTGAAGTAAAAAATATTGTCTACCTTTTCCACCTTTCCACCATTGATGTCACTGGGGAGGAATTTCTTGCCAATCGTTCTTAAATCTGTCTGAAATTAATACAGAAGACAAGAGAATATTAACCTAAAATAACTTGTTTCCAAAAAAAGTTTTCATCATAAAATAGGAAAAAGAAGGGTATTTCTTCCATAATGCCAACTATTTATAGACTATAAAAAAAAATCCCTCTAACTGCATATGAAAAAATTCAACAACTAAAAGAGTTTACAAAAGATATTCCTTTGCTTTTTAAATTATATTCTTGTTTTAAGCACATTTTCAAAGATAATTAAAATGCTCTTAATAGATGAAACAAAATGACTAAGTAACATTGAATTATTAGACATAACTGAGGTTTAATAGAGGTAAACTTCTTTCTTCACTCTCCATCTGGCACTTACAGAAAAGCATTTCAAATTTGCGTGGTTTTACATGCCGAAATCCTTCATAAAAGTCTGGGATGATTTTTGCAATTATACCTGGAGTAAAAGCTTACCTCATATTTCCATTAAATGCTTTTTAACTTAAATGTCTGATTACTTCTTTTGGAAGTGAGGTAGACAGCTGCATGACATTATTCAGCAACTGTGCAACATGGCCACTGACAACACTAAACTGAAGAATTCATATGGTCAAAGGAACAAGTCTCCACAAAAGCACTTTCCTTTACCTAACAGTATTTGTACAAGAACTATCAATCAGGGTGATGTGTGACAAAGGGAGGCACTGGATGGCTAAAAGGTGCAGCACAGGAAAATAGCAAATGGTATAAAAACTAATTAAACTTTACACACTATTCTTTTTAGTGCATTTATATCTGTTAAGAAAAAAAATAAGGCATAGCAGTGCAGCCTAAACACCCATGTCTTGTAAACTCCGTTGTTTGAAATAAGCCTGTTGTTTTAAATAGAACATGCTGATGCACATTACTGTACTGAAGCTGAAAACCCTTCTTATTTATTATGATCTTCCAAAAGAAGACGGCCTAGATGCAATTACTACTAGAACTTGTACACTAACTTGCCATTAATATATGCCAATGGACTATTGTTCTGGCATCCCAATCTAGAACTGAGCAGCACTACATTTTAGTATCTAAAACACTAAACAAATGGTTTAGTTTGTTTTTCAGCAAGAAACATTAGTACCCTACAAATGGAAAACTAATTGTGGGGATATTCTTTTAGGCTATTTACTCTGAGTATCTATAGAGTGGATAAATGCTCAACCCACTTTCTGTTGCACAAGATAGCCATAGACAGTGATAAGAAAGCACATTCCATTTTCAATCTGAGCCCACCTGAGGGAACTGATCTGTCATCTGTCAGTTATTTATCTCTGACTAGCACACAGGTTCCTATAAACTGTTCCCACATGTTCCATACCTATATAATTAACAAGTCTCCAGCAAGATGCTTTGCAATCACAGCAGCAGAAAGAGGACACAACTTTTACAAACTCTTTGCATGATGTTATACAAAAAAACATTTGAAGGACTGAAGGTACCTTTATGTCTATTTCATACTTAATTAAGCAATTCACAGGAAAAAAAGGGTCAGTTGACTTCTTGGTTTCTTCTGCCTGAAATGTATCTCTAGCAGTCAAGGAAAGAATTTGTGAATTTGTAAGAAGCGAAACCTAAATTCACTGTTATCCTGTTGTTCAAGCCACAATGCTATTCCCTACTTACCCAACAAGCAACTTAACCTTCGAGGTATCAAAACAACTGATTTAATGACAAAAATATTGATAAGCAATTAAAACTAGGTTTGGGGTGCTTGCATAACATTTCTGATTTATTTTATTTTTATTATGTATCAAAGAAACTGGAAATACAACACATACATGCTCAAATGATCATGTTAGTGCTTGTTTCAGCATATAATTACATGTGGGTAATACCCAGCAACTTGGAAATATTTTATTTGCTTTTTTATAAACCAGTAATGCACTCTCAGATATATATAGGCATCCTACTACAGCCCAGAAACCAAATGCTTACCCTCTGCATGTTTTGTATTACATTATTTGCACTTTTGCATTATAATTTTGCTTTACTTCTTTTCAAATTCATTACATGAATTGGTGCATGCATACATGAGTGATCAAACACGTGCTTCAAAGAATAAATGAAAGGAACAGAGGGGATACTCTTTTCAGAGTATCACCCTAAACCAACAGTGGTTGAATCTTGAAGATGGACAAAATAATCCCTAACAGTTCTCATTCACAATTTCATTAAGAAAGACTACTTTTCTCTTAAGCGCTCTACTACATTGTTTTTCCCCTTCGAACTACATATAGTTATTACAAAGGACAAAGTTTACATAAATCCATATACAGTGCATACAAGCTTTAAAACTTGTGAGTATGGATGACTGAGAAGTTTTAAACAAAGAAAATGTAAAATTCTCAAACTCTCCCTCATGATTTTGATAGAATAAATTAAAAATAAGTAAATACATGGATTAAGTAGCTGCCCTCTTTTCAATGTTATTGAAAGGGAGCAGACTTACTAATGTTTACCAACAATGTATGTACTAAAATTCTGAAAAACACAAATTCACATGCACACTTTTCTGGAGTCCTTGAAAGTATTAAGGTTTATTGCTTCCAAGTTGGTTCTCTGTCTTGCATATTTTTGTATTTATTTGTCTGCAGGAATAGTGACTACTAATCCAGATTTCTACATTAAAAAAACCCAACAAAAAACCAACTGTTTGTAGTTACGTAAATATGTACATGTCACAGGAAAATTCACCATTAGTTTGAATATGCTTTAAAGTATATCATGTCCAGAAGTCAAACTAAGTAAGGGTGTTTTATTCATCCCAACAAACTAATATTTTGTACTACAATTTCATACTCATGTCAATATACAGCACTCCTGATTTTATTACTGCTTATACTTTGACTTTAGATTTACATTTCATAATCATAAAAATATTTTCCTACTAAAAATTATGTTCATTTTTCTCCTCTAGGTTCCATGGTTTGGAATAGGTGTTATTTCCAAATATAATTCACAACTCAAACACGCAAGGAGAGAGGAGGTACTCTATCCTTTACGTAAATCGCACAGACAACGGTACACTTAATTAGCCACACAAACGTAACACTTGAGTCATTAGATACATCATTTTTAGCATGATTTGTCAGAAAAAAGTTTTCACAATCATAACTTACATTAAGGGCAACTAGGATAATGTCATTTGTATTAACTTTTTCAGAGGAACTTATGCAAGCTTCAATTCCTTCATCTGAAAGATACCTGTTAAAGAAAAAACAATATTAGAATATCACATGATGTATCTATTAGGCAAACATTTTGTTCTGTATGTAAGATTATTGTCTTCAGTTTGTATCTTTTGTGCTGGTGAAGCATAGATTTAAAAATACTTAGAAAATTACTTCATGTAATCAGTTTCCTTACACTGAAGTGAGACTGAGTAAGAGACTTCTTCCATAATTTCTAAACAAACAAACAAACAGCTTTGCTTACAAAGTAAGAACAGCCACCATTCCAATTATGTCAAACATGGTAACACTACGCTCCTCATACCCGCCCCCCCAAATGATAGGAACCTGGTTTCCAGGTCAACCATTCGGGTTTTAATTGATGTAAGCGGCATACTTTCACTCACGCACTTGCAAGGAAGAAACAAAACAAAACAAACCATCCCACACACAACACAAACCACAACCACATCCATTTCTCAAGAGCAAGACCATACGGTTAAGCCCTCAAGGGCTGGGGCACGCAACACTGCCGTCTTCTAAAGTGTATTCTTGCTTGCCTGGGCTACAAAGAAACTGATAAAAACTGAACCGCATTACAGTGTATCGGTAAGCAAATATGGTGAAAAAGTTTAAATAAGAATAGAAAATCTCCTCCACAATCACATATGGACACAGCATTTGTGAACCTCGTGCTGGTAGTCCAGGATCAGTATCTTCCTGCAAAAATTCTGTGAGTATACAATAAATTTGCTCATCTGAAAACTAAGGAAGTTTTAAATGGATTCAGCTAATCAAGTCAAAAGGGCTGACCTATTCTAACCTTGAAAAACACTTTAAAAAAAAAAAGATAATTTTAACTTGAGTGGTCAGAATTTGTGACATTTGTTATTCATTTTGCATAATATTTCCTATTCAAAGCCACAGAGCTCATTTTTACGTAGCTGGCAATCTGCTTTCTCTGCACAGCTCTTCATTTTATTTAAATACATCACAGCAATCATTAAATAATTGATATTTGCTAGGTAGTCTGAAACACAGTACTTGCCCAAGTAACTTTTAAATAGCTACCTACCTACCAAGAAATCACTATTCCCCAAAGAATGAAAGAATGATTTAAGAAATAAAGCTTAATATACATTAACAAATATTAAAAATAAATATTCCTGAGTGCTTCAAGAAATACTTCTTTTTAAAGAAGATAATATCCACAGTGTAACATATAAACAAGGCAAAACATTTGAAGGAAAGTATTCTTGATAGGCCTTTTTGATTCTGGCCCAGGTAACACTAACATCACCTTTTCCAGCCCTGCCAGTGTTCCCAGACTAATTAATGATTCCAGTTGTGATCTAACCCAGGCATTTGGCGGGATCTAACTATTCAAGTTGGACACTGACATCTAGCAAACTCTGAGAGACCAGACAGGCATCACCAAAAAAAAAAAAAAAAACAAACCCCCAAAACCCCCCAAAAAACAAAACAGCCCAAACCCAGATGCACTGAATGGGAAAAAATTGCACATATAAAAACATAAGGAACGATCCTATTTTTTATATAAAGGCAGATGCTTGAGAAGAATAAGGTGGCAAGTTTTGGTGGCCTGCATGGGAATGCAGGATTTCCCAGCTAAGTGACTCTGACCTCAAGTACTATGACCTGTGAAGATTCAGGTAACTACTGTGAATTAGCAGATCTCATTAGGTGGAGTCGGAAAGTAAAGTAAAACAACATTTCCACTCTGTGCCAGAGGAAACTAGAACAGATACATCCTACAGGCACTATCTTATTCTCAAGACTTCAACTGGGGTTTAATTACACCAACAGACTTCCTAGAAAGAGCAGTATCAGAAACTCTACAAGTTTACCATCCGTCATCTTCAGTGTAAAAATGAACACAAGTTCAACACCAGGAGTTAGGGGGAGTGCAAAATCCATAAGCTGAGTTTTAGACTGTCAGGCAAGTTGTGGAAAGATTCCTCATCTTCTGCTCCTAATGTAAATGAAGTCATTCTTCAATTCTACTGAAGCTAGCAGGACTCCAGTTCTCTTACAGAGTTACTCAGCCTAGTATTTAGATGTAAGCACTACCATTTTCCAGGAAGAAAAAAAAAAATGGTTTTAGAGCATGAATAAACAAGAACCTGACCTAGAATTAAATTTTCCCAATGTAGGACAAGATTAATTCTGCTATCACAAAATTCACTGCTGAGACATGTTTTACTTTCTCACTTCAAAGTGAAGACTGAATCACAGCTGACAAAATCCCACTCTTTAGTCAAAATTTTGAGTTTATAAATTTTTATATATAAATTTCAGTTTAGTTTGTCTCATTACCTTGGAGCTTTTTTGAGATGGAAAGATAAAGAGAAACCCACTGGAAAAGACTATTCATATTTTACTTGTGCTCGTTTAAGCAACAGCACTTAGCAGAAACATTGCCTACCTGACTGAAATCTCTGCCAACATTAGTTTGATTTAAACAAACACTAAAGCTTTTCAGCAAAAGACTGATTAAAATGGTTATTAAAATAGTCTTCAAAAAAGCAAAGGCTGTTAACATTTAAGGGGAGGGGATATTTTATAGTTTGGGGTTGGTTCGTTTAGTTTTTCTAGATATTTATTACATGAAAGCATAAATTACTTCAATGCATAAGATCAGGATCAAAATTACTTTCAAGATAAAAGATCAAATCAACAACTATATCAGCAAAACTATGCTGAAGAACTTCAACAGAGAAAAAAAAAAAACAAAATTAGCAGAGCTCTCCAGTAATGGGTCAGGTGTTGCTTCTGTGCAACAGGACATAAAAGTGCAGATTTTGTCAGAAACAGTCAGGAATTGGTCAGGGAACAAACCACAACCAGGACACACCATACACTAGCATTAACCGAAGCACAGATTTCTCCTTCTTTAATAGAAGCCTGGAACTAGTGTATATCAAGTCAGTCTTTTCCATTTTGCCCTAATAACTCTTATACAGACTACTTTATACAGCAACGAATATTCCAAATACATGTTTACATTTTCTTTACAACCTTACAGAAAGTTCTTATTTAAAATAAATTACTTTCTCTTCATTGCCTGTACAGTCTCCTATAAAAACTACCTAAGTTTTAGTTTTGAGTATTTCCTGCTACAGGCCCACAAATTATTTAAGAAAAAAAAAAAAGTATTTTTAGGAAATTTTTGTTGTTTAAAATAAATATATTTATACAAAAAAACATACATCTACCTCTCTCAAGTATGAAATGCGAGTTACAACAGGCAAAATTAACTCTTCAGCTGGCATAATCCTTCCCCCAACAACATACAGATTATTAAGGCTAAAATTCTTTTTCCAGGCTCTGAAGGAAACAGAGTCCCCTTTTCTATCTGCTCTTAATAAGGGCATGCCATATGCTGAAGGTAGGACCTTTACAGCACAAAGCCACTCAATCTTTTTGTTCTCTGTATGAGATGAAGGAGAAAAAAAATCTGATCCTGAATAGAATCAAAGACAGCAAAAAAACTCCTCTGGAGTCAAAGACAACAGCCCTGCAGCTCTGTGTCTCTATTACATTCGAGTGTGTCACAACATCTACATAACCCGTTGTGCTGGTTTTGGCTGGGATAGAGTTAATTTTCTTCATAGTAGCTAGTACAGGGCCATGTTTTGGATTTGTGCTGGAAGCAGTGTTGATAACACAGGGATGTTTTCATTCCTGCTGAGCAGGGCTGACCCAGAGCCAAGGGCTTTTCTGCTTCTCCCCCCAGCCCACCGGGACAGCTGACCCCAACTGACCCAAGGGATATTCCACACCATACGACGTCATGCTCACTATGTAAAGCTGGGGAAGAAGAAGGAAGGGGGGACTTTTGGAGTGATGGCGTTTGTCTTCCCAAGTCACTGTTGGAGATGATGGAGCCCTGCTGTCTTGGAGATGGCTGAACGTCTGCCTGCCCATGGGAAGTGGGGAATGAATTCCTGGTTTTGCTTTGCTTGCGTGCGCGGCTTTTTCTTTACCTATTAAACTGTCTTTACCTCACCCCCAGAGTTTTCTCACTTTTACCCTTCCGATTCTCTCCCCCTTCCCACCACAGGGGGGTGAATGAGCAGATGTGTGGGGCTGAACTGCTGGCTGGGATTAAACCACAACACCCGTTCTGCCCATTTTGCAAAATATCACAACCTATCACAACCTTAGGTAATGAAAGGTGAACTGCAATGAGATCCTGTTACACTAATCCAACACATTTCCTATTGCCAAGGAGTAGGAAGCAATTCTAAACCACCCATGAACCAGACCACAGTGCTGGAAGCAGGTCGCGAGCTCCCACTCCCCAAGAGGTACCTGGCAGTGCTGTACGAGCAGTGTCCTCGTCAATTCTTGCTCTCCGTACCTCCATCCCAAGCTGTCCCCACCTTTTCTTTAAAGGGCAAAGGAGCACAGAGAATAACCTGGCACAGAAATGCTGCTGCCGCAATCAACAAAATTTCCCTTGTCTTTGCCATAAACAAACATTTCAGAATCATGCACTTTTGCTTAAGGTGAAGAAGTGAATAAATAAATGGTAAAATAAATGGGTGAGAAGCATGGAGTGAGAAGCAGCCAAGCTCCACAAACTTCTCTAAGAAGTCAAAGGCTAGCCAGTAGCTGACCACTGGTATCTTACACTGACAGCAACAAGACAAATTATTTCCTTAATACACAATGCAGATAATACTACCCTGGAAGATGAGCCTGAAAGACTTAAAAGGAGGCAACTATATTCCAAATGGAAGCTTAATTTTTTGCTTTATCCACCAAAGTCTTAAGCATCCTAAAGAGATATTTATATTTTTGAGTAAAAAAAAAAAAAAAAAAAAAAAACACAAAAAAAACCCCAGCACACACAAAAAAAACCACACTGAACTTTCCTCTATGGGGAGTGGTAACTAGAGTAATGTACATTGCAAGCACCTTTGGTTTCCAAAAAAAAAAAAAAAGTATTCACTAGACTTCTTTCTTGCAGATGTTTTAAAACAATCTCAAAAGTTATAAACTGAAGTAATGCAGACAATTCAATTGATTTCAAAGGAATTATAGCAAGTAATGCTGCATGAGTCACATAGGGATTTTGTGGCCTTGGAACATTAATACAAATTAAACAAAAAAAAAAAAAGAAATAAAATCAGTTTACAACCAAATGGGCACAAAGCTGCTGCAAATGGTTGAGATGGTTATTTGTGGAGCATTCTCTTGAGAGAGAAGACCAGAAGTGAGAGAAAAATAAATGCTTCTACTGCAATTCTTCCACATTATGCTTGCTGAAACCTGTGGGATCTCTCACCTATTCCTTCCCCTGCCTCCCAGCTCCGCTCATCTGAGACATGTAGCAGTACAATCCTCTTAGCTACAGCTTTTGTCAGAACATCTCCTAGAAAGCACCTAGATTCTTACCTTATCTTCAAATGAAGCATTAAAACAAAGTCATTAGTAATGAATCAGAATTTTCTACATGAACCATTTACACATTACATATAAATCCAAATCTACAATTTTTCTGTCAAAATGTTCTCAAATAAGCTTCTGTAAAAAACAGATTTCAGTAATTATTCCTTTGTAATACACAGAAAAACATATTACATCAGTGACAAGCAGAGCTGTTTTCCCACTGCTCCTTCGTATCAAGTATGACATCAATTTAATAACCCACTTTTGCACATTATAGGTGTGCACCTTCTCCTTTTCAGTATTTCCCATTGCTAAGGGCTATAACTCTGTAGTACCAACCTCACCTGCACCTCTACTCATCTCATTTTATCTTCCACTTTACTTCATCAAGAACAGATTACACCTGACGTGGCCTAAATAGACAGATTTCTGCACTGCTACAGTATTGCCACCTATGTCTGAAACACTGAAGAAATCAGCAGCATCAAAGGAAGATGCATTTTTGCTTGTCTGTTCTATACTGCTGGATCAAATAGTTGATCTGCAGACAAACATGCACATGTACACACACACACACACACACACTTTAAAAGGTTTAAAATAAGAGCTTTATTCTAGAATTAAATGCACCAGGTAAACAACTTTCCTAATAATATTTATTTTTCACAAGCAGCATTCTTGAAAAGCATGTTTTCTCTATTTGTAATTAACAGTTCATGCGCAAACACAAATCTTCAATCTTCCATCCTCTTTCTGTCCCGTATTTCTAGAAATCCTCCGTAATTTTTTCCTATCAACTCTACAATTAACATTTTATTAAGTAGAAGCTTTCTTTAAGGGAAGAAGTAAATAAGGGAAATTAATGTTAATAAACATGCTGTATAAAATTTACATATTTCAGATTCACAACTCTTCACAGAATCACTGTGATATTAGCAGAAAACACAAAAGGCACCAACAGTACTTCTTGTAATTCAGTGCCAGCCACATGAAACAATGTTGAAGTTTTACAGTAAATTTTATATAGCTATTTTCAATGTGTCTATGCAGAAATCAGAATGTTCCTTCTATTACTTTGCTAAGAAAACAGATTTATACAATCATGTCATAAAAAAGATAAGGTTGGGGGGGGGGGAGAATCCACAGACAGCTTTCAAATTTCTTATAGTTGGTGACACCACAAAAGAAGAGAGAACAACTTTAACAATAAAGCACAGTGAAACGTCAAAGAACGCACTAGTATGAGACCACCACTGGGTGCCAGTATTGTTCCATAACAGAAGAACAGTATCTCCTATATTAGCTATTTTAAAAACTTGGGAGTTCTCCTAATAGGGTTTCAAAATGTTCTGCTGAATTTCAGTTGTATAAAGGAATTACACCGCAATGTTACAAATTTTATTGAGGGGCTATCACTAGAGCTGTTTAAAAAAAAAAAAAAAAACGAAAAACTAAACAACCCATTTTAAAACATTATGCTAAATATGAAAATCAGATTTCAAAGAAGGTTTCTTCATACTCTATAACCTGCATAACAATACTGGGAAGGCAACTGACACTGTTCTTCCCCTCAACTTCTGAGCTTTTTATTTAAAGAATAATGTAGCATTATACAAACTACCAGACAAAATAAAATGGAACTTAAGGGTAAAAAGAACAGAGAAAATTTTAGAAAGATTCAAAAGCCCTGCCAAAATTAGGGCCAACTGTTCCTTTATCCACAAGGCAAACGTCTGTAAGGAATGACAAATGTAGATTCAGTGGCATTCTTGGCAGTTCTACTATTAATATTCTCACACCCAGACAAGTGACATTTTTCCTAACGTCTAACCTTGCTGCACTGCCTTCTGTTGCCTCTTGTTTTCTGCACACCTATGGAGAAGAGACCGTGCCTTTCCTTTTTGCAATCACATTTAAAGACTTACTTCCTACATCTTGTACATCTTGCTCTGTATCTGGTACATCCGGTATATCTTCCTGTATATCTTGTACTTATACTGATGATTATTGCTATCCAAGTGTATTTTTGTTCTCCTATCACTTCTCCAATTTGTTAACATCACTTTGAACTCCAACCCTGAGCACCCACAGCTTCGCATTCCTAAGGAGCTTTATCTTGTGTTTAAGCTTAGTACTTCATGCTCCATCGTCCAGCTGTTTAATGACAGTTTCAAATAAAATTTGACCTAGAAGATACCTTCATGCAGCCTCAGATTTTGACAGTGAACCATCTGTAGCCGTCCTTTCTAGTACGGTCAAACCAGTTTTATAATTGCCTTACAGGAACTTAATCTATACTGTTTCCCTATTTCACTCCTTAAAGATGCAAAACCAAAACGTTAAAAGTAAGTGTAGTGTATTACATCACTATTCAAAACTCACCAAGTGGAATTATGCTAGCAAAAACCTATTTGCACCATCCAGAAAGCACACTGAGAATTACAAAATTTTGGTTGCAACTAGGAAGCGTTTAGATGAACAGACACCAAGGTACTTAAGTGTATCTTTAAAATATTACTGGCATTCCTAAAACTGGTGCACAGCATCTACAGCACCTCAGTTGCCCAGGTGGTTAAACTTGCATCCCAGCTACATAACTTATCACTCCTGAGAATACATCACTTCCTTAACTGCAGTCTCCAATCCAGGTCAAATTGAAACCCAGAAAATATGCATTCCCAAACTCAAGTTCTCACACGTTTATCTGACAAAATTAAAGGCCTAAACCTCTCTCAGATGTCTGTGACACTTGACTTTCAATAAAAACACCAGCTGAGAAAGACAATGTATTTTTACAACAACAAAAAAGGGTGGGTTTTTTCTTACATTACATAGTAGAAGCAGAATGTCTGCTATTACTGCCCCCTGCCAACCCCCCCTTTTTTAAATGTGGGGAAGCAAACACAAGTTAATTATCTAGCAGTAAAATCTATTTTGTCAGTGAAATCATGACCTAAGAAAAGCACAGAAAATGCTCAGAGCCAAGGAAAAAAAGACATCAAAAAAAAAAGTACAGTGCTTTAAACAAAACCAATGCATTAGCTTCTTCGTCGGTTACTTCTACCTGAAACTTTCAGTAAGAATGGGTTAAAGACCAATAATTTAGGAGCATTACAGTCCTAAACATATGTAATACCATACACTACAAGAATTCCTTCATTGCATAAGCAATACCAGTCCGGCATCTGATGGCGAGGCCCAATGGAAGCACCCACTGTGCTGCTCCTTGGGGAACCTCCTGCTCCCCTGGACAGAACTGCTCTCCCTAACAAGCAGCGTTTTTCCTCTCTCCTACAACAATATCGGAGATGAGAGCTGCTTTATACCTGGGTCACTAGGTCCTGAGACGGGATTTGGTGCTAAGGAGGTTTCTGCCAGGGGTCACCAAAGGCAGAGGGCACCCCAGCACTCCCTGCAATACTTTAAGTGCTTCAAAGTCTGTATTTGTGTCATGATGTTCTAGTCACCTTTACTAACCCAGCTCTTCATCCAATTCCAAAAGACAAGGACTATTTTTACACAAAAGCCTGAGTAATCAGTGATAGTTTTAGAATTATTCTTTTAATATGTTTGATATGCAAACAGAAGTATAAGTCTATTATTAGGTTAGCCTGACAGTCCATCATTCTCCCTCATGCCTCCCTAGACCCACACACCACTCCTCTCACTGGCACATGTTTGGTGGTTTTTTCCCCTCCAGCCTCCCTGAAATGACTCTGTTCCAAAAATTAAGTATCAAAAGCAAGTTTTCAGCATACTCTTCATCAAGGTCTTACACAGAGAACATACATTTTAAGACATTTTAACACCTGTGTTAGTGAGGTGTTTATAGTAGTACCTCCCATAGTGTGATACGTAGTGTGACATATGCTTTTTGCAAGTCTGTTTTCTTCTATAAAATTCCTACTGCTGAGAATGCCATTTTATTTTTTTAAAACA